TTACTACTGGGTTCGAGAGAGGTAGAGGTCCACAAATCTTCTGTACTTGCTGACCAAGAGTAAAATCCTTGCTCCTGTTGGGAATCGAACCTCGATCATTAAGACCGTAGGCAGTCACTAAGCTGGCTGAGCTATTCCGACAGCTTCTGGAAGTATAAAACACTAATAGGAGACCCAACACATGTGTTACGACTTCAGTCCGAATCACATCCTCAAAACCCACTGCTCTATTGTTCTCTTCCGTCATGCGATGTTTGCACGCAATGCCACAAATGAACTAATTACTTCCCTGAAGCACAGTTCTTATTGAGAAACTAGTAGTAGCTCAGCTGCTTAATAAGTTCCTCATATTTAACAGAATTTGAAAGTTCACTGTCGTTTTCACTACAGCCTGCACAGGTCCAAATGAGTAGCCAAGAGAATCCGACCCACATTCATAAGCCATATTTCTTAAGGCCCTAGCAGATAATGAGAAGCTCTTGTTTGTTCACATGTCTAGTTTCTGAAGGTACAATGCAGTTTAAATTTAAATTTTATGTTCAATATTTATACTAAATGTTGCCCGCTGAATTTTATTTTTGTTCGCATTGATTTAGCATAACATCAGGCTTAAATCACATTTCATTGATTCCCTAAATACGAAATAAATTACGAAAATTACTGTCTTCTGGGATATTACGCCGTGTAGTTACTGAAAGTTACTGTCGTTTCGGAAGAACCGATTGCCTGTGTCTTCAAAGTAGGAGAATAGCCTTCATAGTAACTGCCGTTAGAATATCAAAGCTCGCGTGAAATATTTTTCCTACACACTAAATTTGTAGGCAAGGTAAGGTAAGGTAAGGTAAAAGAGGAAAAGCTATCCATGCAACAGGCCGTGAAAGCCCATAGGTTTGTGAGACGTCGAGGTTTCCACATTTTCTAGACAATCGGCTCACAGATGGCGGTGAAGTCAGCCTTACGGATCTGCCGCCCTTTATCTCCAGGAAAATTCCTAGTACTCATTTCTGTTAAAGGTTGAGTTTGCCCCAGAATCATAGTGCGGCTGGAAGGATTAGGTCAATTGAAAGAACCCAGTGACCTCATCGGGAATCAAGCCCGCGACTTTACGGCTTGAAGCATAGTGTCTCAACCAATTGCGCTACCTCATGCCCCTCACAAGACTTTGTAACTCCTTAAAATAGGGATATTCCATTATGGCTCCCTTCTCACGGGTTTAAATTAATTTGTAGCTATGTATGTATATATAGTTAACACAGTACGGCTTATAGTTGGCTATGTGTGTGTTGTTCAATAATATGGATCATTTCAAGCATGCATAGACTCGGGCAGAATATGGCAACTATAAATGGCTGTGCGAAGTATCTATGCTTCAGAAGGCATTGCAGTCTTGATCTTTGGTGAAGACAGCTGCATAATGCATATATTTGTGAAATCGTGATTGCGTGCCTTCCTCTTTGGCTGCAAAGTGTAACAGTTGAATCGGTGTATTATCTGTGAAAACTGTGGCTGGTGATGAGAACTTTCTGTTGAATTTTCCAGCCGATATTTTACTGCCATCCTAAACAGAGTACATATTAAGGCATTTTATCTTAATTACTTTTCTCTCTTATGGCCGCTTAATAAAAATATCTGACGCTATATAGCATCGTTAAATAACACACGATAAATAGGAAGGAAATAAAAATACTTTTTGATTATGTACGAGTACAATGTATTTGCAATACGATTAACTTTGCAACAGTAAACATTGTGGCGTGCCGGTCACGGTAGCCGAGCGGTCTAAGGCATGCACTGTCTTCGCTCGCTCGGAAGCCGGGATCGTGGGTTCGAATCCCACTCAGGGCATGGATGTTTGTTTGCGTTTTTCTGTGTTTGTCTACTGGTAAAGGCCTTGAGACGTGCTGATCACTCGCCCAAGGAGTCCTACCGAATGTGTAAGATCTAGTAAACCGAAGTGAAACGGAGAGTTTCATGGAGGTAGGCCTAGGTCCAAATTTGGGCTGTAGCGCCACAGAAAAAAAACGTTGTGGCGTATGCACCCGTTGCTAGATAGAGACCTCGAGACGGATGAGTGCAGCCGTTGCTATGCAATAGGCGAATAAACAAACGGCCGTATCTGAGCAACGGATCTTTAAACACGTTCCCCCACAAACGATATCCGAACTGCCGCTACGCAACAGCCCATAACAACAACAGAACTGTTGGAGGCGGGTTCTTCTGTTGGGTCCACCCTGAGGCTATAGAGCGAGGGCCCCAGGCCGACTGATTGCTGTTCAGTTGAGTGAATGAAGTAAAGTACTTTGTTGGTGAGTGAGAGAACTGGTTATGTGATATTCTCCGGCAGTAATGATGTGAGCGCGGGAAGTTGAAGTCTCTCCACTATTAGGAACCGTCAGTAGGGAACGATTGTTAGAGACATAGCAGGCAGGGAAAAGGCTTAGTAGATGCTATGGTGATTTGTGAAGTGTGGAGATTCGCGATAGCGCGGTAGTTACTTGTAGTTCCGAGTGATGTATACAAGTGTGTCAATAAAACCAATTATCCAATCCAAACCCCGTCTATAGTCACATTCCTAAATATGTGACAATATTTTTCTCCTACAGATGAGTATAAGAACTAATGAGGTGTGGAAAATGTCACTGAACAAATTTGGAAATTACTAGTATAGGCTTTTCAGGGGCGTGCAACTTTCCAGTCTTGTCTAATTTAAATGCTAATGTATAATATGTAAAACCTTTCCATTATGTAAATATACTCGTACAAATAAAACGGGAAACGTTTTATGATTATGTATTTTGGCAATTTGACTGTATATGCATGTGTTTTAGTTCTCGTGCTTTAGATGTGTTCACAGATGGCAGTTCTGTCAGACACTGCGCAATCCGAAGCGTTAAACTGTAACTTAATGCATTGACTTAAAGAGGAAAGGAGGGAAGAAGATAAAGGTATGAAACGGGTAAAGCAAAATTAAGAAATGGGCTGAGGGATGAACATCCAAAAGAAATTATTTCCTGTTGAATGTCACTTTGCCTTTGCACTAGTCTCATTTGATACCTAGACCTATCTACGGATAAGCAGCGCAGTGCTGTTCCCACTAAACCCTCAAGTCAAGCTTATGAAGCTCTCATACGGAAATGCTAATTACAATTATGTATAAACTTAACAACTACATTAAGTAGGACATGGAGAATGATGGCCCATGATCCAAAGGTTCCTCGCCTCGGAACACAATATATGCTTCAAAATTGCATGTATTCATTCAACACGCTTAGTTTGTTAGACCTTCAAAACCCATGAGTTATTCAATATGGCACTAATTAACCAAGTCCGTGGTGCACGTTTCTTCTTCATAAAATGGTTGTTAATTAGCTGATCAAATATTACTCCAACTTTCAAGAAAATGTTACAGGTGGTTCTTTCCTCTTCAGTGATATTTCGCTATATGTAACACTGCAAAATAGCAAAATAGCATTAAAATTTGCACATGTATGCTTCATAATTGCCGATCACAGTGGCCGCGTGGTCGAAGGCATGAACCATCTTCGCCCGCTTTAACACTAGGATCGTGGGTTCCAATCCCACTTGAGGCATGGATGTCTGTGTGCGTTTATTCTGTGTTTGTGTTGTTCTGTGTGTAGGCAGCGGCCTTGCGACGGACTGATAAGCTGTCCAAGGAGTCCTACCGACTGTGTATATATTAAGAAATTGAAAAAGCGGCCAAGGTCCACAAGGGCTATAGAGCCATAGATAGATAAATAGATAGATTTTAAAGTAGTGAATTTTTCAACGGAGAAAATATGTACGTTCATGGAGTACGTCTTTCTGTCCCTTTATACCATTCGAAACGTGTCCATGGATCTCAGTCAATATAGCGACTGGTGTATGACGAGACGGCCCAGGCCGATTTCCAGCTGAAAAAATATCTTCGCTACAAATTCCAGGCCGCCCATGGGCTCTGTCAAGCTCACATCCAACGGACTTCACGTGCTCTTTCTGTGGGCATAGGGCTGCCGAGTGTGGAGCTGACCACTCAACTCCGTCTAATGATAAATTCTGGCGAGAAGCCGCTTTAAACAGAGAGACAACTTCGCTTTTATGCAGGCCGATATATAGGGAGCAAGTTCAGCCAAGCAGCAAAGTCTCTGACTAAAGTGGCGCTGGGGCTGGTTTTCTCCGAGTACTTCTGTTTCCCCTGCCAATCTTCATTCCACCAAATTCTCCATCATCATAATCACCCGGGGCAGGCAACAATAGGCCAATCAGTGGCCGCCGTGCCGAGTGGACCCAGTTGGACTCCACCACCCAATAAGCGAATTAAAAAAAAAATTACATTCAGAAAGCCGCAGGTTCGAATTTTCTTTGGGAAACCGAGTATACTGACTGGTCTTTTCCGTGGTTTCTCTCAGTCCCTCCAGGTAAATGCCAGGATGCTACCTCAAATTAAGACAAGTCAGCTTCCTTCCAGACCCATTAAAATTCATCACGGACTAATCGTAATGCCGTTGGACGCTACGTAATCCGATATACGGACTACGGCTTTTAAATCGACAAGTAAATTATCTTATATTTCGTGTTGTGAACGGACTAGACAAAGTAGGGTCTTACGGTTGTAACTCAATGCAATTCGGAGCGGTCTTGACCTATCAGAGGAACACATCGTCACATCGTCTCAGTCTTCAGTTTGCTACCTGCTTCTCCTGCTTTCTTCTTTAACTTACTCTTCGACCCTGAGGATGGAGGCGATATGTTCTTCCGAGACGTCGGACTGTCCTCTAGCTTCACGGCGATACAACCCAAAAGACTGTACTCTGCATAAATAAATAGATTTAACATTATACCACCCAGAAACGTGTGCTTAAAAGTACGGACGTAGCGGACCCATTGTTACCTGAGATATACACGTCGTGATACAGTGTTAAAGCGGGAGGCGGGCTTAGGTATGTGAAACGCATAGTAGCGGAACGCGTTTGGTGAGGCAAGACCACCTGTACCACTGTTTGTAGCCTTCAGTTGTTGGCGAGCTGTGAAAGTGAACAGACTGGTACGGTACACGTTGCTGTAACTGAAAAAAAAACGCGTGTTTTAAAAAATACTATTGTGATATCGAATTCAAATAAATCGACGATATTCTAAGATTTAAAGATTTGAACATACGTTACAGAAAGCGACTTAACGGTTCCGTATGTTTATAACTTAGCAGATATTAGAGAAACATGAAAAATGTGTGGTCAGATGTTCGGTAACGACGTTACACAAAACAATAAAAGAGAAGACGAAAGAGTGCGCAGTGCTAGTGAATAGTAAAAGATTGTGGAGGGTTTTGATAGAGCTAATTGGTAAAAAATATCAACGTATCTGTATCACAAGATGGGGAATTCAAGGAATCGCCATGTTGGTTACCAAATTGTCACTAGGATGCTCACCTCTATTTTCGTCACAGCAATATTTCAGGTAAGTAAAACTTTCCATTTTCTTTCTTAACTTTCAGAAATTAGCGAAATTATAAGAAAAAGTTCTGACTTTAGAAAGCAATTCAATATCTCAATGTTAATCTTCTGTAAACACCATGAGAATTTAACGTCAACGGTTGCAGCCCAGGCTCCGCGGTAGCGAAGGAAGGTGATGTCTGAAATGCCTAAATTAATGTAATGTAATTAACTATATGATGCAAAGCCCTTTTTGAGAATCTAGAATTTGCTTAGCTAGCAAAAATCTCTACCCTTCCCTACAGATTGCGAAGGTGCAACCGTGTTCAGAATATCCCGCCACTGGGCCTTGTGCTGGCCTAGATGAGTTCAGGAGAGAGACAGAAACAGGGGAGTTAGAACTTATTGGTAGGTTTACAAATTCCGGGCGCCATAAACATATATCCAGAGATTTTTGAAATGAGATTCTGTACTGTGAAAATGGACTGGAATTCCACTCATCTTGATGCATTTATCTCGTCTCTTCATAAATTGCTTTGAGTTACGGAAACGAAAAGAATGAAATTAGTTTCCTTAGGGCGAGGCACTATGCTACAAGCGGTAAGGTGGCGGGTTCGATTTATAATGAGGTCATTGGATTTTTCAATTCACCTATTCCTTCCAGCCGCACTATGACCCTAGGGTCGACTCAGCCTCTAACAGAAATCAGTACCAGGAATTGTCCTGGGGGTAAAGGGAGGCCCTCGCATAAGGCTGATAATTTCACCGCCATCTGTAAACCGATTGTTTAGAAAATGTGGGAGTCTTGACGTCTCGCAATCTTATGGGCATCCATGTGGCGTTACAAAGATAGCTTTACCTTTTTTATACCTTAACGGCCTTATCTTAGAATTCCAAATGATTTAGAAACATTCTACATTAATTTTAGATGAATAGAATATACGAATAACAAACTGAACCGTTATGATAAGGACATCTATCATGCGAAGCTGCATTTGTTAGATCTGAGGCAACTATTGTTTGTATCTTGCTGATTTATTATCAGAATATTTAAGTTTGTTGCCATAAAAAACAGCGTGGCACGTGATGGGATTCTAAGCAGGAATGGCAGTGAATTTGAAAGTAGGCTGTAATTACAAATTTCGATGTACTAATTCGCATGGTAAGAAATAAGGAATCTACTAAAATCTCAGAGAAAACAGCCGATATCTGGCCGATCATAAAACCGGTTACTTGCAATACGTTACCGCTATATCACATTGTCTGATTTGAACGCTATTAACTTCTGAATACGTATACATACAAGATATTTTAAGGTTAAAAGAATATAGTATTTAATAACTTGAATGAATAGATGAAAAGCAAATTTCACATCCTACGATACAATATTAAAAACAAAAAACATCTCTTCCTTAAATAAACCATGTTTTCTAAATAAATAATGTCTTAACATTTTAATTTAAATAAAAAAGAGATAAAGATTCAATTTCAATTCATCGTAAGACTGACATGTTTATAAATAAGAGATAAAACTTTGAATACTTTATTAATTTATGCATAATGACATTTTACCAAAAATCCTAGTCCATATATTAATCTTTTCCGACAGACTAGACATGAATAGATGTTTATAGTTTACAAAAGAAAATGAAAATTGAAACAAGAAAGTTCATTATAGGCCTAGCATATGCCAATATTCAGATGCATTTCATGCACCTAATTATTGCTGTGCCTAAAAGAAATTCCCACATTAGTCCCGCCTTGTTCCAAAGTCAAAAAGAGAAAGTTGACAGTTAATTGTACGGAAGCTGTTTCGGCATTAATGCACTGTTAATCAGTGCACTGTCTGCAGGAACCAAGCAACTCATTCAGCTACGGACTGAGAACTGGGCTTCCATTCCCAGCAACAATACAGATTTTGTCTCTCGTCACCATGTTTAAGGTAGCTCCTGAACCCATTCAGCTTTGATTCCTTCGCTTTACGCATGAGCAAGAGTTCTATTTTGTGATAGATAAGAAATATATAGAAAATCTCAATAACGGAAGGGAAGAGTCTACTTCAAATACTTACGCAGGTGTAGACGGAAGAATAATACTGAAAGAGATTTGGATAAATAGGGTAGGAGGAAGTGGACTGGATTCGCCTGACTCAGGGCATGGACCAGAAGCGGAATTGCGTAAGACGGCAATCGCTAATGACTGTTCGGGTCCCATAAAAGGCGAAGAATCTCTTGAGCAGCTGAGCGAATATTAGCTTATCAAGACTGATTCTGCTCTATGGACTTAGAAAGTTAGTTAGCTGGTTAGTTCGATTCTGGTCATGTCATAGTTTTTCCGGTAACTTACCGACATCTCTCCCTGAGTACTGGACAAAGTATCACTGAAGCAGAAATTTCTGCAGGCATTTCCATTTCCTCTTGTCAGTCATCGTTCCACGAATACCCCTTATTCATGTCATTCACGGCTGTTATAATGGCCAGTCTGATGTTGCAATGCCTCACTGCCGCAACTACAAATACGAACTTTATTGACCGGAAATTGATTGATAGAGAATATGGTGTTTAAAAGAGTGAAATGTTGGTATCTCATTCTTTCTTTTAATTTATATATACTCCACAACTCCAACTAGTGCCGAGGTCAAGAATACGTGGATCTATATATCTACTCTTCATAAGTCTTCAAGATTTAGTGCTTAATTAGTTAAGCACAGGCACGACTTTACCTCACCATGTTACGTACGTAATGATAAAAAGGGAACAGAAAATGGTAGGCGAGACTACCAAGTGGCAAATTAAGTGCATGGGTCTGTCCATGATGTCGCTTTGTACAGTAAGATACAAATTAGATATGACGTTATAATATCCGGAGAGTCACGAAATCCGACAACACTGTGGTCCTGGAGGTGCTGGATGTCACAAATTTTACTGTATACGGTTATGACTGTTGCAGCGAGTTGGGGTTTTCACTACAGGAAATAGAGAAAGTGAGGTTCACTTTTCGTACTTACGTAATCAAACTGTATGAGTTGCGGTCAAACGTCCGTAAAGAGGAAATTAAATTTTACTGAGGCTACAACTGGTTGATGGCAATATTTACAAGATATCCCAGAATCTTTAGTATCAAACATAGAATTAATTTAGTCTCATATTTATCACTTAGGAAATAATTATCTTTAAAAATATGACACATATCTTTTAGGTATATAACAAACGCAGTGATAAAGAGTGATTTTGGAAAATGCACGGTCAGTAGATAGCTGAAAGTTGAATAATTTGCAACACTCTGTTAAAATGATCTCAAGAAATACATAATGAAATATACGTAAATAATACAAATGTAAAAGTAAAATTCTGTATTTCAGCAACCTGTTGCTCATCTTTAATTAAACGTCTGTGTATTAAGTCCGTCAACAATGCAACAATCATTAAAATATTCACCATTTAACATTAACACAACGTGTTTCGGCCACAGACGGCCATTCTCAGGTGTTTCAATGCGTCAAACTGCTACACTGCTTTGATGCGCGTTAAAATCGTGCGCTGCAGTCCACTTAAAATACCATAAATAATTACTTAAAATCCATTAACATTTTTTTATATTAAAATCTTTCTAAGAATCCTATCCCACCTCATAAGGGGCGGCCGTCCATTTGTTTAAAGCTATGTGATATTCCAGAAGGTTCGTTTCTGCAGCTGGTTTTTCTGTTTCATATGTAGTGGACTGCAACGCGAGATTTTAGCGCGTATCAAAACAGTGTAGCAGTAGACGCATTGAAACACCTGAAGAAGGCCATCTATGGCCGAAACATGTTATGTTCAGTGTTAAATGGTGAATATTTTAATAATTGTTGCATTATTGACGGACTGTGTTACATAGACGTTTAAGTAAAAGTAAAAGTACACTTGAACTCATTTTGTTTAATTAAACACAAATTTCATGAAGACTAATACGAAATTAGAGGCATAACTCCACGCACTCTTAACCTGGACACTAGACGGAAGTGAGAGGCCAACTTCACGCTCCGTCACTTTATCTTCAGGCAAAGATACCGCGGTATCCACTGGATATGGAACTGGTTGGGACCCAAATCTGGTTTGGACGTTGTGGTAAAATGAAATAGTGATTAAATCAGCTAAAAATTAGATAGCCTGTGCTATTATACAATAAGTAAACAAATTCTGTACCTCAGCATCCCGTTGCAATTGTTCAAATTAGCGTCCATTGTTTATCTTCTGTCAAAACTGCAACACTTTTACATTCTACACTTCAACACTATATGTTTCAGCCGCAAACGGCCATCTTCAGGTGTTTTTATGTTACAGATATTTTACTAAAACTGTGCTAAAACTGCTACACTGTTTTAATTCGTGTTAAAATCACACGCTGTAGTCTTATTAAGTAAAACGGGATAAAATCCTTTAAAATTTTTGTTAAACAGTTAACACAGTTTTAGTAAAATATCTGTAATATAAAAACACCTGAAAATGGCCGTTTGAGGCCGAAACATGTAGTGTTGAAGCGTAGAATGTAAATGTGTTGCAATTTTGACGGAAGATAAACAATGGACGCTAATTTAAAGCAAACAAATGCTAAACTGCGCGCAAAATGTAGATTACCGTAGGTGAAGATATTATTACAAACAACAAGAGATAGGAAGATTAGGCGTACGAGTGAAAACAGGTGGCCGAGAATTACGTAGAGGAAGATGAGTACTGCCAAGAGGGGAACAGAAAGAGGACGTTGAGGCTATATATAGACATGAAGTTACTACATAATCCACACAGAGGGAAAGAAGATGCAATTCTGATGAAGTTCGTCATTAATTGTATTATGTTACTTATAATAGTAATACATATGACAATGACAATAATACCTATAAGATTCCCCGTCTCAAATCGTATTATTTACACGAATAATCTGATGAAGAGAAAGAAATTTGCAGGAAATTATTTGGACGAAGTACAGTGGCAAATGGTGACAGATATCTGGCAAATTATGTGCCTTGGAAATGTAAGGAAACGGCTT